CCCCACTGACCATGGATGCCTCAGAAAACAGAGCCCATGGCCATTTAGGGTGCTGCAGCTCTGGGATTTAGGGGTTCCTAAAGGGTCTCTGGGTGGGGGACATATCCTCTAGGGAAGAGCAAACATGGGCTCAACAGTGCCCTTAGCTTAGCAGCTGGCACATACCTTCCCAGGAATTGCTAAGAGTGGAAATTAAGTAATAAGGCTTTTAAATTTGTGTGTTTTGCCAAACGGATAAGAGGAGAAGAGAGAGCAGGTGAAGGGAAGTTGGTGGGTGCTGGATGGCTGTAGCCTGTCATTGCAACCCAAACATCTATGGGGAGGATGGGAGAAGGGACACTTTTGGGTTTGCAGAGAGCTGAAGTGGGGAGGCCCCACGCCAGGCTCAGTCACGAGGCAGCGCGCAGATCTGGAAGGGCTTGGGGCAGCGCGTGAGGCTGAGGGTGAAGGCGAAGGTCAGCGCGGCAGCTGACGGTGCCTGGAAGGTGAACTTCTGCAGGAGGGCTGTGAAGAAGATGAAGAGCTCGGTCCTGGCGAGCTGCTCCCCTGGACAAGCCCGCTTGCCTGGAAAAGGAGCAAAAAGAACCACGGCGAGTCCTGAGTGAGCTTCAGCCACCGCGGAGGCTCTTCTCTCACGTGTTGCCTTGCACCGGCTGCGGGAGCTTTTCTTCCTCGAAAGGTTAGGTGGCAATGTTCACCCACACATTTTGCAGAAACCTTCCCCAGAAGTTTAGTGCTGAGCAAGCTGCGGCAGCTCTTCCAGCAGATAAACAGGGGAAACTCACCAAAAAACCCCCACCCATTTACGCAGCTTGCGCAACGGGAAAAATCGTTTGTTGTTTAGGGGTTTTTTTATTTATCCTGTGATAACAAATTGATTTCCTTCCCTGTCCGAGAAATCAGCATTAATCATTACCGGGATTTTCACTGTGGGGATGGCTGAAAGCTGGACAAGGAGCAGCACCCCCTGCTCTAGGTGGGGGGACTCGGGGAAGAATAAAAACAGCACTGGAAAAAGGAAATCCATGTCCCCATCCATCATCCTACCTGCAGAGAAGGGCAGAAAAGCCTCCCGCCTCCTGTACTGGCCGTTCTCCAGGAAATGTTCAGGATTAAAGGTGTCTGGAGTCTCCCACACGTTTTTGTCGAACATTATTGAGGTCAGGCTGGTCATCAGGGTGGTGCCCTGCAAGGCGGGGAGAAAACAGGTAACTACACGACAGAGAAGAGCTGATGTGTTGTCAATCTAGTTTCTTATTAGCTCTGTTCCACGCACAATGTAAACTGCATTTTTTGTTAAGGGCAAAGTGATTTTTCCTAAGCTGTGTAATTCAGAAAGGGTGCAAGCTGACAGGGTTGTTCATTTCTGCGCGTCTCCATGAATCACCCTGTGCTGCTGTCGCTGGTAATGTTAATATGAACCAACTCTAAAAGGATAGCACTGTGTCCCCATAGGAATCTCAAGTAATTAACCAAATATTTTTCAATCAGTCCACTTTTCTGTGCTTATTTTTTAAAACCCAATCTGGTTTATCTTCACATCTCGTACCAGAAAAAGTGTGGAGCAAAGTGCCACATGATGTGTATGCATCGATGCCTATTACCTGGTTTTTATCAAGTGCTGACTGCAATAGGTGTTTTTTAATAATCTGTGGCATTAACCCAAACTCTTTACCTTCCTATGTTCCTTGGCCTCCTATTCCCATAATCCCATACAAAATTTAAGGGGTAAACCTCTTAACATTAGAATCACACAGTTCTCCTCTGCAAGGAGGTGAGCCCCATGAAACAGGCCTGCAGCATCTGTCAGCAGGGCTTGTATTTTCTATGTAACTGTGATAACTCCGTAGGATCCTGCTGCTTGGTTCCTATCCAGGTGAGATTTAGGACTTGGGCCATGAAGACCTCGCTCAGGTGGGATGAGGGAAAGGCTGGTGGTCTCCATGTACTTTGGGCAGGTGGAAGCCGGCCAGGGTGGTGTCGCTGGTGGACATCCTGGGCACCCCCAGTGGCACAATGTTGCCCATCCGCAGGACCTCGCTCAGCACTGCGCGGGTGTACGGCATGTGCTCCTTGTCAGCCATCAGGGGCTGCCGGGACTGGCCGATCACCGTGTCGATCTCGAGTTGCACCTTCTCTACAGAAAGCAAGAAAATGAATAAATAGAAATACTTGTGTTCAAAAAGTTCCCAGTAAGAACCCCACAGCATGTCAGACCTGTGGTACAGCTAGAAATAACTGTTTTCCGAGTTGCACTTAGCGAGTTTTGGGCAGAAGGAATGACCCAGCGGTGGCCCTACCCTGAATGTGGGGGTACGCGGCCATGTAGAGCAGAGCCCAGCGGATGGCAGTTGCTGTTGTCTCGGTCCCAGTTAAGAAGAGGTCCAGGGTGGTGCACAGCAGGTTTTCTTCATGGAAATAGGAACTGGTGTCTCCTTTAAACTTGGTAAAGAAACCCAACAACATGGCAATGAAAACTCTTACTAAGGCGGGGATGCTTTCAAAAACCCAATCCAACCCCACCTGTACAGAACTCAAGTCCTGACGCTAGTTTATTATCCACCACCCCTGGACCTGGAAATTTCTGCCCCTTACTTTTATTGAATTGTAAGCCTTACGATCAGCTTGGAAAGACACCCTCCTTGCTGTAGAGTGACTCCTGAAAGCAGGTAGCATTTTTAAGTGAAGTTTCACAATAGCAAACGCAGGCCTGTGAGTGCTCCTAGAAATGTGAACACGTTCCCTGAGAGTCCTCCTACGCAGTGTGACAGAATGAAAAAATGGAAAAAGGCAAAGTGAAAACAGTTCCAAATGAAAAAAAGAAAAAACAAATCTGTGTGTTTTCAAAGCGATCAGGCTCCTGCTGTTGCTAGAAAGTTTGGCGTGGAAGAAGTAAGGAGGAGAAGGCAACGCAGGAGACATGAGGTCCTCTGACCAAACATCCTTGAGTCT